GACTCCATGGGTGAATGCAGCAAAGGCCACTACTACTACTACTACTACTACTACTACTACTACTACTACTAAAGTCACCTTCACCATCTCTACATTCCTACGTAGGCAAATGGCTAATATAAATAAGCCCACTTAAATTATCTACATCATCTTTCTCAGTAAAATTTCAATGAGTGCCATCACAAGCAAATAACTTCGCCTGGCGTTCTCCTCAATACAGTGGTGATATACTTATGAAAACTAAGCCAGACGAACGTTCACCAGGCTTTAACTGTAACACCTGAGGGACTTACGTTGCCTTGGGTCATCGTGGCGCTCGAGACCTGCAAGAAGGAGAGAACACACTTAAGTGCTTGTTTTGACTTGAGCGAGAGTGAAGTGTTTAACGAGAATGAGGGTCTTACTTAACGAGAAGTATTAATCACAAACCTTTCAGATAACAGTAAAATAATAGCTCGTTTACCTTCTAATTATCTCAAATACATAAAATATCAACTGTAAATGACGTCTGAAATCTTGTAAATAATCTTGTAAATAATCTTGTAAATCTTGTAAATAATCTAGTAAATCTTGTAAATAATCTTGTAAATCTTGTAAATAATCTTGTAAATCTTGTAAATAATCTAGTAAATCTTGTAAATAATCTTGTAAATCTTGTAAATAATCTTGTAAATCTTGTAAATTATCTTGTAAATCTTGTAAATCTTGTAAATAATCTTGTAAATCTTGTAAATAATCTTGTAAATTATCTTGTAAATCTTGTAAATAATCTTGTAAATAATCTTGTAAATAATCGTCTGAACTGAGAATTAGAATTAGGTGTTTTATATCTACCTGGGGATCAAGGTATGTTCCTGTGTTAATTAGTATGAGGGAGTGTGTTTTGAGTGTGTTGAGTGTGTTGTTGCGTGTGTTGGGTGTTTGGGTGTGTTGAGTGTGTTTGGGTGTGAGACATTTCTAGTACTTGTTTCAATTCTTCCCTTTTATTGCACTCCGCGCCATTCACCTCTGCATCTTCAAGGTCTTATCAGTATTCCTTCAATTATCACTCTCCTTCTTCTTCTCCTTCCCATCCTTATCGTCGTTCCTCTTTCATTCTTTATCTTCTCTTCCTCCACCTCCTCCTCCTCTTCCAACACATACAAACCCTCCCCCTCTCCCGCTTTCTCTCTCTCTCTCTAAAGCTCTCACCATTACTCTCTCTACTATCTTTACTACCCTCCCCTCCTCTCTCTCCTTTCTCTCTCCCTCTCCTTCCCACCTCCCTATTCATCCCTCAACAGAACACACTCTCCACAGAAAGCAACAGACACCCTAGCGTCACCTCCCTCTTGTCGTCCTTAAACCTATCTCCTTCCTTCTCCTTCCCTCACTAATTCCCAAATGGTTCCTCCTCCTCCTCATCCTCCCCCTTTTTTGACCCCTAGGCCTCTTCCCCCTTCACTAATCCCCAAAGTAGGTACGGTAGGCCATGAAAAGAGAGAGAAAAAATCCGAATGCATTCATCGAAGCGGGAGGATGGGGTTTGAGGACAACCTACCTACCTACCCCCTCCTCCTACCCCT